TGCCGTGGACCACTAGAGATCCCGTTGGGCGGAGCCTGACAGTACCTTGCGGCCATGGACTGAGCCTGGAAGGGGAACTTCCCCTCTGGATGACATCTGTCGACAGATGGAGACCCTTACACTGGGAATTAGGGGCCTACAGGAAGGTTATACGGTATTGGACAGACGCACGCAGTCCTTAGCTACCCCTACCAGGGGGTCTGGGGAACCCATTAGGAAGACTCCGGGGTTGTTACCCGCACCAGAACCCCGTGTCCCCACACCGGAACGTTTTTCCGGAGACCGAAGTAGATTCAGGGCCTTTCGTAACTCCTGTCAGTTTATACTTTGACCTCCAGCCTCAGACCCTTTTCCTCCGAATCAGTGAGGGTAGGGTTCATTATTTCCCTACTACAGGGGGGGACCCCAAGACTGGGCCCACCGTCTCCGAGAGAAGCGAGACCCACTATTGCAGTCAGTGACGGTATTTTTTGAGGCTATGGCCCTCTTGTATGACGACCCGCTGCGCACCGCAACGGCCGAGAGGGCTCTATATACACTCAGGCAGGGTCACCGGACAGTGAGGACTATGCCGCCGAATTCAGGCGTTGGCATAGTGACTGCCAATGGAACGAGGCGGCTTTGCACCACCAGTTCCGCGTAGGGTTAGCTGAACCCCTGAAGGACGAATTGGCCCGAATAGACATACCTAGCACTTTGGAGGCCTTGATAGCTTTGACTATTCGAATTGACCGCCGGTTACGGGAGCACAGGCAGGGAAGATGCAACCAAGGACAAGGATCAACTGGAAACACCCCCTCAGGCCTCTACCCAGTTACAGCCGGCAGGCCAGAATCAGGTTGCCATGGATTCACCCGAGACCGGGCCATCGGGAAGGATCCGACCGACACTTACGCCTGAGGAACGCCAGAGGCGTCTTGCCAACCATCTCTGCCTCTACTGTGGGGGAGCAGGCCATGTGGTACGTACCTGTCCAGCCAAGAGGGGTAAGTGTTCCGCTGTTTTCTCTACAGTCACTTCTAACAGTGTGGGCAATACTAGTTATCTGGCGGTACCTGTGTCACTTCAGCTGCCGGGGAGAACAGTGGTGACCACGGCTATTGTGGATTCTGGGGCGTGTAGTTGCTTCATAGATTTAGACTTTGCAGTTCAGCAACAAATTCCCCTACAAACCAAGGAGGTGGGATTGAATATTTTTCTAGCAGATGGATCACGTATTAAGTCAGGGGTGGTGGACCACGAGACCCCACCTATCCGTACTACCATATCGACCCATCATGAAGAACTCCTTCGGTTGGACGCCATAGCATCCCCACTATTTCCAATTATTTTGGGGCTCCCGTGGTTACGAGCCCATAATCCCCAGGTGAACTGGAAGGGGGGTTCTATGCAGTTCCTCTCCCCATACTGCCCAGCAGCATTGCCTCCCTAAGATCTCCCCGATTCCACCGACTTTGTTGTGTCTAGAGACAGATGCAGAGCTGGCGCAAGTCATTCCGTCAGTTTACCATAATTTTCCTGGACGTGTTTAGCAAGCGGGGGGCGGACATTCTCCCTCCGCACCGAGCTTATGACTGCCCCAATTGATCTCCTCCCGGGGTCGGAAATCCCATTTGGGCGGATATTCCCCTTATCCGAGCGGGAGTTAGGGGTACTAAAGGAGTATATAGATGAAAACCTCCATAAGGGGTTTATTAGACCCTCCACGTCACCAGCCGGGGCGGGCATTTTCTTTGGAGAAAAAAAGACAAGTCCCTCCGGCCCTGCGTAGATTACCGGGACTTGAATAAGGTCACACAGTAAAAAAACGTTACCCGCTACCACTCGTCCCCGAGCTGTTTCAGAGGCTGAAGTCAGCATCTGTCTTCACTAAACTAGACTTGAGAGGTGCCTATAATTTTAGTTCGTATCAGAGAGGGGGACGAGTGGAAGACAGCATTCCGTACCAGATTCGGACACTTTGAATACTTGGTTATGCCCTTCGGCCTATGCAACGCCCCTGCCACCTTCCAACATTTCATAAACGATGTGTTCAGGGACTACCTAGATATCTTCGTCATTGTATACCTGGACGATATCCTTGTCTTTTCCCCAACCTTGGAGGACCATAGAGGTCACGTGAGGCGCGTGTTAGAACGGCTCCGCCAACACAGCTTATATGCCAAGGCAGACAAGTGCTGCTTTGAACAGAGTAGCATTTCGTTTCTGGGTCTAACCATCTCTCCCACGGGAATAGCCATGGATCCTCAAAAGGTTTCGGCCATTTTAGATTGGCCAGCCCCCGCCGATAAGAAAGTGGTCCAACGCTTCATCGGCTTCGCGAATTTCTACAGAAAGTTCATTAAGAACTTTTCGGGCCTAGTGTCCCCAATCACCCAGCTGACCAGGCAGGGGGTTCGCTTACAATGGACACCCGAGGCACAGAGGGCTTTCGAAGCCTTGAAGGAATTGTTTACGGCGGCTCCTATTCTGAGCCACCCTGATTCGTCCTTGCCATATATCTTGGAGGTGGACGCATCCGAGAATGCGGTCGGGGCGATCCTGTCCCAGAGGAAGGGCATCAAAGAACTCATGCACCCAGTGGCTTTCTTCTCCAGGAAACTGACTCCTGCGGAAAGGAATTATGATATCGGGGATCGGGAGCTCTTGGCGATTAAGGTGGCACTAGAGGAATGGAGATACTTGTTAGAAGGGGCGGTACACCCAATATTGATTTTTACAGATCATAAGAACCTAGAGTATCTGAGGGACAGCTAAACGTCTGAGGCCACGTCAAGCCAGGTGGGCGCTGTTCTTTTCACGGTTCTTTTTCCATATAACCTATAGGCCAGGGTCTAAGAACACAAAACCAGACGCGCTCTCCCGCATGTTTGGGGATCCCGAAGAGAACCCCAAGCCAGACACTATCCTGTCCCCAGGAAATTTCTTAGTTCTCCAATCGGAGCTCCATTCTCAACTGCAGACCGCGTCCGTAGGAATGCAAGGTCCACCTGGGGTTCCCTTACTAAATAGGGAAGGACTTTTTTGGAAGGAGGATCAGATTGTGGTCCCTGAGGAGGCCCGTACATTGGTATTAGGATACTGCCACGATCACCCGCTGGCCGGGCACTTCGGGGTACGTAAGACCTTGGAGCTGCTGCAGTGTACTTTCTGGTGGCCTAATATGGCCAGGGGAGTGCGAAACCTACATTAAGACCTGTCCCGTGTGTCAGAGAAACAAACCCACTAGGAATAAAGCTTGGGGTCTCTTGCGCCCATTACCCATTCCCCGACAGGCCATGGACCATGATTTCCATTGACTTTATCGTGGAACTTCCACCTTCTCAGGACCACACAGCAATCTTCGTGATTGTGGACCGCCTGTCCAAGATGGCCCATTTTGTACCCTTAAAGGACACACCTACGGCCCTTGAAACAGCACGTGTGTTTATTAAGGAAGTAGTAAGACTCCACGGAATTCCCAGGGACATTGTATCTGACAGAGGGGTTCAGTTTACGTCCAGGTTCTGGAAAGCTCTATGTGAAACCCTGGGGATTAAGTTATCGTTCTCTTCTGCTTATCACCCACAGACCAATGGCCAGACGGAGCGTACAAACCAGACCCTAGAGCAGTACCTCAGGTGCTATACCACCTTCCTCCAAGATGACTGGGTTACTCTCCTGCCGCTTGCGGAATTCGCATATAATAATGCAAGTCACTCTGCTACTAGACAGTCCCCGTTTTTCGCAAACTATGGGTTCCACCCTGTATTCCTGCCAGATCTAATCCCAGAGGTCGCAGTCCCAGCCACGCAGGATATGTTGACCTTTCTGTCAACCAATAGCAAGGTATTGCAGGAAGCAATGGCAAAGGCCCAGGATGACAACAAGAGGGCGTTTGATAGGAAGAGAAGAGGGGAATTGAGTTTGCGGCCAGAGGACCAGGTTTGGTTGTCCACCGCAAATTTAAAAATGTCCTGCCCTTCAAAGAAATTGGCTCCCAAGTTCTTGGGGCCTTTTCCGGGTCAAACGTAAGGTCAACGAGGTGGCATACGAGCTGGGCACTGCCCGAATCTATGAAGGTTCATCCGGTCTTCCATGTGTCCCTGTTGAAACCGGCAACTCCTGACCCCTTCCCGGATCGAAGGTCTAAGCCACCGGAGGCAGTAGACGTGGATGGGGAGGAGGAATTTGAAGTTGAAGCTATCTTAGATTGCAGGAAGAGGGGAGGCCAAACTCAGTTTCTGGGTTAAATGGAAAGGATATGGGGCGGAGGAAAATTCCTGGAGCCGGCCCAAAATGTGCACGCCCCAAGGCTTGTGCGGGAATTTTTTTTGGAACCGGCCATTGAGTAGGGGTCGGTTGGGCATCCAGGTTGCCCGTAGGGGGGGGGGCAATGTCAGAGATCCCGGGTCCTCGGCGGCGCGCGCATGCGCAGACCGCCGTTCCGTCCCAGCCGGCGAGCGCAGAATCCTCGGCGATCGCGGCGGCCGCGCATTGCGCAGTAGCGATCGCGGCCGCACCAATGGGAGAACAGGGCGCTCTATTTAAAGCTGCCTGTGCATCTCCAAGTTGCCGCAAGGTCTCGTTCCTGTTCCTGTAAGTACGCTCCTTGTTGCCAAACTCTGCCTGTCCTGTTTATGCTGACCTTCTCCTGCTCTGACCCCGGCTCGTCCCTGACCATCCTTCTGCCTGACCTCCTGCACCGCGCTGCCCGCTACCTGCTGAACCTGGCTTGTGACCCCGACCATTCTCTCGCTTACTCCCCCCGTACCACGCTGCCCGCACAATATACCCGACCCGGCTAGTCTGACCTCGCCTACTCCTGATAGCTGCCCATCCATCCCGCTCGGATCAGGATCTGTCATCCCATCCATCCCGCTCGGATTAGGATCTGTCATCCCATCCATCCCGCTCGGATCGGGATCTGTCATCCCCTTCACAGCAGGCTCTACCCGGGCACATACCCTCAGCGGGACCCCTCTGCCACCGCCGGGGGTGCCCAGGGACGCGACCTGGTTTCAGTCTTGCACCAAGTCCATCCCCACCATCAGGGGCCCTGGTGAAAAGGCAGACTGGGACTTAGACTCCGCGTCCTGGGAAACCCCGTGCCGTGGACCACTAGAGATCCCGTTGGGCGGAGCCTGACAGCCCAGAGGCACCCCATACAAAGATGCACCCTCTAGCCTTCTTACAAGGGGGTTGAATGTGAAAGCATATAGCAGGGGGCTCAAAGGACATCCCTGGCGCACACCAGAGCCAACCTCAAAAGACCATCCAACCCAACCATTAACAAGTAGGAAGCTCTCAGCCCCTCTATATAATGTTTTCAGCCAATCTATAAACCTCCCCTGCAGGCCGTATCTACCAAGTAACAACCACAGATATTCATGATTCACTCGATCAAAAGCTTTTCCTCATTATTCATCACAACTGGTATACCTCAGTATTATATCTATGCCCTTTCCTAAATGCTAACATTGCAATGAGGTCATGTTCTGTTTATTTATTTGCCGCTATATTGTCTACCTGGCCAGAATTGATGTTGTCATAACTGCATCATCATTTCTCTATGGTTGTATATTGTTAAAACTAAAAAATTTTCTTTAAAAAGAAAAGGTCAAGAAAGGCTACTCTACTCTAGGTAGGTGGCCTGTGTACAGTTCCCTGCAATCCAGCCATTCATCAGCACCAGTTCAGTATATCCATCCACAGGTTTCACAACCCAATTCCTCAAGAAGGGTTTTTAAACTTTTTTTCCACCCTGGATGAATGCCGCGTCTTCCTTATCTTGAATGTGACAGACATTTCCATCACACATAGAATTTTCTGTCCTGACATCTGACACTCGCGATGACAAGCTGCTTTTGTCATCTCCTGTCTGACTGTAGGCAAATTACTCCATACTAGATCTTATTTCACATTTCCTTCCTACCCAGGAGAAAGCGTCCGGACTGATATGGAATACACATTGGCCCCAAGTGTAGTGTGATGACCTCACAGCACTGGTTTCCTTGTGTTGGTAAAAGTTACACTCACTAAATAAACCCCCATATCAATAGATTAACTGGCGTATGATGTCATAATGGTGTATTTAAACCTCCTTTTCTTTTTTTTTTGTTTAAAGCATTGTAAAAAACATTGATAGGATAAATATTGTCAATTGAAGTAATACTAAAGAATTGTTTTTTCTTTGAACTAAAAACAATGTTATACTAACTTGCTAAGTGTAATTTAATGCATAGTTGTCTCTTATCTCCTTTTTTGGGGTCCCCCGCTAATGCTGTTCACTCCTCCTTCCTTCAAGTGCCCCTTCAGCAAGCAGTGTGCTATGGGGGCTCCCAATCCGGGCTGTGTGCATCCATAGACATACCCGACGCTGGTAAATCATGCTTCTAGCTCCCTACTTGCAGGATTTGACTGACAGCAGCCGGATCCTATTTGAAACCAGGAATTGGAGGAGGTGTGCTGCAGCCAGGACAGTGCTGGAGCAATGACAGGGCAGGTAAGTGTTTAGCGATGGGGGGGGGGGGGGTTTTTTGTCTAGGACAGGTAGTGGAGCACCTTTAACCTTAAAGCATGGGTGCTCAACCTGTGGCCCTCCAGCTGTTTTGGAACTACAAGTCCCATGAGGCACCGACAGTTACAAGCCTGACTCCCAAAGGCAGAGGCATGATGGGACTTGTAGTTCCACAACAGCTTGAGGACCACAGGTTGAGCACCCATGCCTTAAAGGATAACTAAAGGCAAAGCTTTTTTCAGGTTTGGATGGAGTGGAGAGGGATTAGAGCCCGTCAGGTTTTTTTGTTGTTGTTAGAGAGATTCACCCTCTATTTGTCCTATTTACCGTTATCAAAAGTGAAAGTAAATCCACAAATTTGAGTTGTTCCCAGAACAGGAATAGAGGAGAAATCTTCCAAATCGGGACACTAGTTCTGATGACAACTGGGGATCAGGGCCAGGACAAGGGGATAGGAGGGCCAGCTGCCCTGGGAGCTGTGGTATCACATAAAATGGGGGCACTGGGTGGATAGCTCCTACCTATAAGCTGACAGGAGTAGTGACAGCAGCTTCACTACTTCTGTCAGCACAGGGCTGGTGGAGACAAGCCAGATCTAGAGAGGAGGAGGTGAGGGCTGTGCTCTCTCTCCCATCCAGCTCCTTCTCCTGCTATTGCAGCTCTTCTGGATCAGGACTGCCAGATCACCACTGTGCCCTGTTTGTTTATCCTATCTGCTCCCAGCAAAGAATGTGGGAAGGGGGCGAGTAAGCAAACCCTGCATAGCCCCAGCCAGTTTCATCTCTAGTGGGGGACGCTGCGATCCCATATACCTAAATCTGTCACTGTCATCTGCCTGTGGAAACTGTTAAGTCGTCTTCCCTTAGGCTCCTCCTCAACTCTGACATGTCAAGATGAGGAGGAGCCTGAGAGGAAGGACATCTAACAGCTATTGGTCGCACTGCATCTGAGGTCTGTGTGTATGAGGGAGGGGAAAACTGCACTGGGGACATAATGTGCAGAGTAGGGGGAGGGGGAGAGGATTAGTGCTAAGAGGGGGTTTTGGGGGAGGAAGAATTTGTGTTGGGAGGAAGAATATGGGAGGTGGCAATGGCCTAAGATTTGTTTTAGGATGCAAAATTGGGGAGAGGGAATTTGAGGTTTTGCCCTGGGGGGTGATTTGGCAGGAGGGGGGTGCCAAGAGGGATGGTTTGAGAGGGGGGAAAGGACTTGTGCTTAGAGGGGAGATTTGGGGGGTTGCGCTAGAAGGAATGATAGGGTGATTTTTGTTAGGAAGGGGGATTTGGGGGGGATGTGTGCTAGTAGCGATGATGGGGGGCTTTGTGCCAGGGGGGGGGGAATTGTGGGGGGGAGAGGATTTATGTTCAGAGGGGGAAATATGATGGGGGGTAGAGGATTTGTGCTAGGAGGGGGGAATAGGGAGGAAGAGGATTTGAGCTGAGGGTGTGGGGGGGGGGGGGAGAATTTGGGAGAATTTTGGCTTGCAAGGGGAGTTTATGCTTAGGGAGTAAGCATGCAGATTAATGCTTAAATTGTTTTTGGAGGGGGAGGGACGGGATTTTTGCTGGTACATAATGCTCAGACATTTTTTTTTTTTTGGGGGGGGGGGGCATTGTTAGGCACACATTTAACTCCTTGATCACCCTAGATGTTAACCCCTTCCCAGCCAGTACCATTGGTACAGTGACAGTGTGTAGTATTATCACTGACTTAGTGTCACATGGAGATGTCAGTGGCAGTTAGTCAGTGCCCCCCCCCCAGTGTCAGATTGCCTGCCGCACAATCACAGTCCCAATATAAGTCACTGATCACACCATTAGTAGTATAAAATAAATAAATACAAATTCACTATACATGTATTGGGATTTTTTTTTACCAAAAGACATGTAGCAGAATACATTTTGGCCAACATTTATGAAGAAATTTGATTTTTTTTTTATTATTATTATTGGATATGTTTTATAGCAGAAAGTAACAGATTTTGTTTTAAAAAAAAAAAAACAGCCTTTTTTCCTTTATATTGCAAAAGATAAAAACCCCAGTCATGATCAAAATACCACCAAGAGAGAAATCTCTAGCTGTGTGAAAAAAATTATATAAAATTTATTTTGGGTACAACGTGGCATGACTGTGCAATTACCAGTTAAAGTAGCACAGTGCTAAATGGCCATAAAGGGGGTAAAACCTTTGGGAGCCCAAGTGGTTAATGGAAGCGCCTAACAGACATTTGAAAAATGTGTTTACATGCATTTTTCGGGTGCACCCAGTTAAAAGTCTATGGGTCAAAAACAAAATGATCCTGCTACTGTATTAAACGTTGCATGTACACATGCCCCCCATACCCTGGCTATGCTCAGGCTTATGTGTAAATGTGGGTTTTCTTTAAAAAGAAGCCACAGCCTAAGTGGAAAAGCCTGTCCCCTTGCCAGCAGCTGCAGAGAAGGAACCTTGTTCTTTGCAGGGAAGGAGTGATCTCTGAACAGGGGTCCAGCACACCCCCTACTGAGCCAGAGCTCTCCTAACAGTGGGGACCATGGGCTTTGCAGATTGCAGAGCAATTGGTCTGACTCAGGATGGGTCGTGTTGGACCTCTATAGAGAGACCACTGCTTCCACACAGAGCAAGGGTTCTACTCTGCAGTTGATGGCGGGGGACAGGATTTTCTCTGTGGCTGCTTTAGAAAGAAAACTGTAAAGACATTGAAGACCTTTTGTTCTGATGCACCTGAAAGGTAGCCGATTTAACCTGAGGGTTCAATAGGGCTTTAAATATAATACCTATACACAGGAGAAATGCTTGCTTTCTAAAAATACTATAACGTGTATCCTAGAACCATAGTTTTCTGGTTTTTCAACATATAAACTAGAAATGCGCAAATAAAGGAAAACCTGATCCATCAGCAGGATCCCATCGTTCTCTCAGCTGGCCATACTAGTGAACTAAGGATTACTATAGTGCAGATCTGCAGCGGCTTACTGGGCTGACCGCAGGGCTGCTGTTAGAAACCATGGGACCCCATACAGCCAACCTGACAGGCCCCGCCCCCCAAATAAAAAAACAGTTTACTACGCTACAGTTGTGAATGAACACAGTGAGTGATTGATACAGATCACTCATTGTGTTCATTCAGGAAAGGAGGGGCTAGTAAATGTGGCATATTTACAGGACCCTTCTCCCACTCTCCATCCTGAAGGATCCTTTTATGTACTTGCAGCTGCTGGTAGGAAGCAGAGGAGGGAGGCAGTGGCACTGTGGGGTGGGGGTACACCGGGGGGGGGGGCCTGGACAGCAGGGGTAAACAAATGGTGAACAGGGATGGTCATGGGTGCAGGGGGGGGGGGGCGGGGGGGGGGGGGCAATTACTTGAACCGATCCGCTGTATGGCTCTCTCTACAGCTGAAAGCCAACGGGAGGGAGAGAAGAAGCAGCCAAATTTCAGCTGCTGCAGAGAGAGCCGTACAGGGGATCGGTTCCAGTAATTGCACCCCACAATGAGCTGATCACCCTCCCTGTCCACATCTGATTCACCTAGCTGCCTGGGCCCCCTTGCTGGCCTGGGCCCCGTACAGGAAAACTGGTGGTACCCCCTTATCCACGGCCCTGGCTGACCGTAATCAAGGTGGTCACATTCAACATGAATGCATCTATTTAAAACCAATGGGGTTATGGAGCAAAATACCCCCCCCCCCCCCCCCCCCCCCACACCACCACCACCACCAGCAGCAACCTAATAATGAGGTAGTATACTCGGGGGGCATGTTTAACAAAAGGCAAACAAGGCATCAGGGGCGGTCTGACCATTCGAGCACTGCCCAAGGGCCCGGGGTCAGTAGGGGGCCCCATGAAATGCCTCTGATAACTTTTGTAGGCTTTTTTGGGTGTGCTTTGAGTGTG